TTTTTTTACATTGCTTGAAACCTGGAAATTTCTAAAATATCTGAACACTAAAAACATGAGGSCCTGATAATAGGAGGAAAGTCTGCATGCATTAAAGGGAAACAAAAAGACCTAAAAAAGCGACTGTTGTCAGGCAGCTCCAACAAGAGGAGGAGAAAGGTCTAATAAAGCTCTGCTCCCTGAGCACTGTGACCGAGAAGCATTCCTCCTCATTTCAGGAATACTTTAATCATCTGAAGGCTCCAAACTCTAATACCAGAAGAAACCAAGYGAGCACGAAGTTCATTATACTTGTGAAGAGATTTTGATACAGAGATGGAAAAAAAATACAATAAAATAAAAACCTGAAGATACGATTTCTGATCACAAATGCAGAAGTAACTTACTGTGTGTTTATCTGCTAGAAAATCTTATATGTACTATACACTATTAAGATTAACTGGGTATAAAATAGTGTTGTTCACATGGAAACTAATAAAAACAAACAAAAACAAAGGTGAAACCTTGCGTCGGCTGTAACAAAGGTTTATGGAAAATACTAGGACTTTTCAAAAGTCAGTGTCAGAAGATAAAAACTGTAAATATATGCAGTTAGGAAAAGAACAAAGAACACTGTTTTTAAYAACCAGCCAACAAGCAAACACAAGATTTTTTTTGTCAAACTAATTTAGATTCAGAACTATTTTAATTCAAAACAATCAGTAGAGAACAAAAGCTGCATCTTTGGWTATAAATGGAAAGTAGCCAATTTCCATGTACAAAACATTATTTAATGCAAATTGATGCCAATTAAATCTACAGACTAATCCTTTCAAAGGCAGATGCTCCCACGTTCAGTGTTTGTCCTTATTTGATTTGTTCTCTATTCATAAACGTGTGAATGGAAAATGGTTATCAATGTCAGGAGATCTTCAGGTGGGAGAACATCAGCAATKTGTCAAAGATCATTTTAGATCTTTTATGAAAACTCATTTCACCTCTCMTTCTTGCATGTGCAGCTTCAAAATATGACTAAACAAATACCTCTGTGAGTTGTGTGGACATGACAGTTTTATTTTTATTTTTTCATGATTAAATCACTTTAAGAAGTCTGGAAAAAGAAAACCCCACAACTCTGACAATGTCCTATTATCCTTATTCAAGCATTTGACTCAGTTTACTTTTAATAGCAAAATAAATAAATAAAATAAATAAATGAATAAATAAAATTAAATAAAAATTAAACAAATAAATAAATGCTGGTGTGTCTGAAAATTCATTCATCTTATGACATATTTTAGGTCTCCATAAAAAAGGTACCTGATGATACACTTACACATTTCAGTAGAGCATACATGTTTTATGGCTGAACTAACCTTCATCCACAGGAAGTTAATCAACAAATCAGCTGCACATGGTTTCAAATTATATTCTTTATTCATATTTTTCACTGTAGTCAATGTTTTAAAACACTTATCAGAAAAAAAGAAGCATTCATTGTTTTTATTTTATTATTATTCTTTTTTAGAAAATTACAAAAATGTTTAAGCTTACACCTTGTGTTTTGAGATTCAGTCATTATATGTTTTTTAATGATTGCTTATAAACTAAAATCAAAATTATTCCAGTTTACAAGAAAATACAATCAAATAGGAAAACACTGAACTTATTAAGACACTGAAAAATATRAGTCACGTTCTTGTTTCAAAGCCATGGATTGTTTAATAACCTCTTTGAATCAGTTGGTTAAACCCATTCACCAGGTGTGAAAACACAGTATGCTTAATTGAAAACACACCTTTCTGGTATAAAAACTGCACACCAGGTTATTTCAGTGTTGCCTCTCAAATGGGTATTTATATTCTTCGATAACGATTACATTTTATAACCAGATCTAGCTAGGCAAAGAGATGATGCTCAGTTTTTCCTCCCTGACTGCTAACATAATCAAGTTGGATAAAATATTTATTTTACAGTATTTGTCTAAACCAGGGGTTCTCACACTTTTTGGGTCAAGGGATCCCTTACAGGGGTGAAACATTTCCAGAGACTCCTTCAAGTTTTACTGGTGCATTGTTCCCCAGATGCATTTATGCTTTTTAAAAATTTGTTTAGACCAGAAGTTCTCCAACTAGGGTCCTTGGAGGTCCTGGGACCTTAGTTTGAGGATTTCTGGTCTAAACAAATSTTTGCTGAGGTTACAGTAGTAATAAAAGTGAAATACATTTTGTTCTAGCTTCAAATTGACAGGCAATATAAGTGAATCTTTGAATCAGTCGCAGCACTGGTCTTGTGTAATACTTTGGTTTTAGTACATTCAATGTGTACCTCTTACAGTACTCATAAGAAAATATTAAGGAAAGTAAAAGTGCCAACACATCAGGTGTGAATGATATGACAAACAAATAAAGTTTTCATAAATTTATGTGTTAGTATTTTTCAAATGATCAAGGGTGTTTTAATAATTGGGTTTGTAAAAAAAATTCCATGATCATCATTTTGTTGATTATGTTGGCAGAACATTAACCTTAATTATACTGAGGAATCATTGTAATAACTGTTTTGTAGCACAATTCTGACTTCTTTGATATTTCTTATTCATAGTTACTCAACAACTGGACTGAAAGCTTTGGCAGAGTCGGACATAAAAGCTTCAATCTCCTCCACCGTGCGAGGGACACAGGTCAGCAGCTCCATACCATCAGCCGTCACTGCGATGTCGTCTTCGATACGAACCTGCACCAAAGGGGAATGCTAATGTTAGCGAAGCACTAGAATAAAAACCAAAACACATTTTGTATCTGAACTAAGGTATAAGATCTAGAGTGGGGGTTCTTAAMCTTTTTGACCTCGGGGCCCAATTTGTTGAACATAAAGCGGCACGAGGCCCAGTCAGACATTACCAATGTACGGATCAAAATGATAATTATTCTAAATCTTGGTTTAATTCGTATTTAATTTGCATTATAACTAAATTAAATACCCTTACAGTATAAAAGTAAAACTCCTGTCAAATAACCACAAGACATGATTATGACAAACATTTTTTGTATTGTAACCTGCCCATAACAATTATTTGAACAAATACAAAGGTCAGTTAACAGACCACTCAGGCTTATCAAAATAGCATATAACCTATATGTATATAACATAAACAATAACAAAAAATTGACAATTCAAAAAATTAAATTATGGGTAAATAAATAAATAAAAATGTTTAAATGTTTCAAATAAAAAAGTAAAAATAAATTTGATAAAGAGCAAATGAAAATAAAACTTTTCTACACTTTTGCAAGCAGAAGCTACTCTTCATATTCGTGACAAACAATAACAGTAACAACAGCTTTTTGACAAGTTTAAAGTTTCTTTAAAATACATWGAAAATGTTTAAAAATAAACTACAAAAAAATTGATTAATTGCAAATTAAAATATAGTTGTATCTGCAACTGTATTTGATAATGTTTTGAACTTTTAAATTATTGCATGGTCAAAACAGAAGCTGCACTTCATATTAGTGACAAACTTTGGCTTTTTTTGACAGGTTGCTTTCATTTTTGCTTCTACTTTTCATTTAAAATAGGTTTCCATTCTCGGCTGGTATCTAAGCGTCTTCTTCAACGAATTAAAAATGTTGTAAAACATCTGAGTGGCGTAATACCGCTACTAGTGGCGAGAAGGTGTATTGCACCTTATTCAAAATCGATGTGGTCTCGTGGCCCTCTGCAGCCCAAAGTTAAAAACTGTTGTTCTTTTGAGGCCCTCAAGGTGGYGGTCACAGCCCATGGGTTAAGAATCTCTGCTCTAGAGCTCCCCAATTCGGAGAGGGGGTTCTTGTTCTTTTAAGTTCTGACTGAAAACCACGACTTCAATAAACTCCCTCAGAGCTGGCAACCAAATGACTTCTGTGTGATTTCTGCAACTACAAAGTTATTCTAAATGTGAGCTGAAACATACAATGCAAAATATATGTATATTAAGAAACATGATGTGTGTTTTCCATAGTCTAAACCTCTTGGCTGTCAATTACCGTAATTACCATCAGTTTATTTTAACTGCCCTCTTCTGTCTCAGAATTTAAAGCAAAAGACCCAAACAAATAAAACTGTTCAAGTGTACCGACCCCTCCAAAGCCTCGGAATCGAGCCAGCACTTGATTGTCGATGAAGCAGCTCTGGGTAGGATCAGCCAGGGCCTGGTCCAGCAGGTGGTTGATGAAGTAAATGCCGGGCTCCACAGTGAGGACCATCCGCTCCTGGACCAGACGGCCCATACGAAGACTTCTCAGTCCAGGCTCGTTAATGCGCTCCACTCCCTTGAACACATAATAGTTTTGAAAAAAACAACATTTTTTTAAATATTAGGCTTAACTAACTACATTTGATTTAGTTATTGATTATTGTTAGATTCTTGGGAAAAGCCTGTTCATGGGAAGTTACTTACTTACTACTTAACAAAAAAAACAGAGTTTGTTCCTAAACATCTGCTATTGAAGTGTTTCCAACCAAACAGAAAAAGAAAATTCAAGTACTGTTATAATTACAGTTAATCAAACTTACTTGACTGCTTTTTCTGTTGTTAAGATATTGATATTCAATAAAGAAAAACATGTTTCTTTTTTCTACTAAGTTTAGACATTTTGGTTTCAGTCCTAATTACAGACTGCTGGATTTGATGAGGAAAATCTCATAAGTGTTTTTTCTCACCTCAGGGTAACCCCCCACATCATGCACATCGATACCCAGCAGGTGTCCCAGGCCATGAGGCATGAAGACGGAGCCCATGTGGACCTTCATCATGTCCTCAACATTACCACGTAAGATACCGATCTTCACAAGTTCCTCCAGGTGAACTCTGTCAGCCAAGCGGTGCATCTCAGACCACTTCACACCTAAAAAAATACATTTTAAAATAACGATGGGTGATTGGAACTTTTAAAGTATGAAAGATTAATGGTTAAATATCTTCATTGTAGTTGTCTTGGTTTATGCTTTACTGTAACAATAACAGATCTTTTTTATGATGTCAGTAAAAGGATTTTCAAAATATTTGACCATTCAATAAATTTATAAATAACTTTGAAAACATCCAAACTCTAAGACAACACAGAAATAGGGAATACTGGACCAGCATTAAGAGTGCTTGGGAGTTTATGCAACCAGTCTTCATGTGTTTTGCTGATCTGGGGAGGTCTTTAAACTGTGTTGTCTTGTGGGGAATGCCTCGTCACTCTGAGGTGTATTGAGCCTTGTGTTACAGGCTGTTAGTTTTTTTTAATAGCCAGAGGAAAAGCTTGGCTGTCTTTGCCAGTAGGAAGTCCTTATCAGTGCTGATAGGTACTGAACTTTGTCACGAGGCCCTTTTATAATCTATTTTGTGCATAACCTTTTAAACATAATTTTTAAGCAAAGTCGGGATGATGGGTTTTCGATTCATTTAACTACAGCTACACTCTTTGCTTAAAGCAGGTCATGCAGTCGTGTTGATTTCATCACGTTGAGATCTTCAGCTGGCACTGGAGTAGTGTTTATAATTCAGTGAGTGAATTGATGTTCCAAGGGTGAGGTGAAGTGCTCAGATAKTTGAGTGAGGCTCTGAGTTGTGTTGCTGCTCCTAACCTGTGTGAACATTCAGAGATGATGTATTCTAGGCATGTTCCAGGAGAGGTACAGTATTTTGCAGAAGTCTTGAGTCATTCTATGTTGCGCTATATTTGCTTTCAAAGAACCCTGTTTTTTAAAAATCTTTTAAAGCAGATTTCAGCAGTTTTTCATCAGYGTTTCTGAAGGTCTTAGAAAACCTGTTCTTCAAACGTACAGCTTTTTCAYTGGATGCAAAGTACACAGAAATTTGGGTAGTTTATAAATCTTTTTGACCATTTCAAACCAAGAGGTGACTACAGGGATGTATGGCTYGCCAAAAATAAATTAGTTGAAATTCCTGTTTTCCTAATGTATTTAAGGTCAATCCTAATGTTATGCAGAGGTGGCCTTGGGGTACAGTAAATAAACCTGTTCAGTGAAAAAASGGTCTTCATCAGTCTGATTAGTTGATACTTTATCACAGGACAGAGGCTACACATTTTATTTTAAATGAGAATAAGTTAGATAATGTTACGTTAGAGGTAACTAAAATGCTTCATGATTTTAGTCTAACTTCAGAAGAGAAACAAATTCCCAGTGAGACCAAAAAGAAGAAGTGTAATGCTTTGAATTTTAGGCCAGTGGAAATCTGAGTAACTGTTGGCTCAAAGTGTCAAATGTTTGAAAATACAACGGATGATATTCCCATGTGTGGTTTCCACTGCAAAGCAAAGAAGAGGCAATGTGATAGTGAAAGAAATTTTCTAACTGATTGAACGCTAGATCCAGTGTTGTATTTCTACACATTCTGATTATTGAATCCATACGGTTTAAAACAGAGAATGAGTGTGTGTGTGTGTCTTAACATACAAGGCCTTCCTGTCTTCATAAACAAAGTTTGTTACGTTCTAACATCTGACATAAATGGTAAAACCTTCAGGGGTGTTACCAGGAACAGACATATGTTAAAAAGTTGATTCATCATTATGTGAGAAGAGGTTGTTTGTTTTATGTTTATATAGGACCAAGTTTGTTCGACTCAGAGGCCTTCTGACAGATGAGGCTGCTGSAGCTGATTGGAGAGAAGAGAATAAAGCCTTTTAAAAGAGAATCAACTGGTTTTCTGCTATATTATTCAGACTTCCATTTATTGATCAGAAATTTCCTTCAATAGTGTGGGCTGATTTGCTTTAAAGTGTAACTTACCCCCCTTGTGAAAAGATAACTCAGCCCCAAGGCAAAATTTGAAAAATTCATCAAAGTGGGTAGGGGAGGGGGTGTGGGTGGGGAAGGGGGGTTAGGGAGCGGAGGTGTGGCCAGGACGAGAGAACGTGACAGGCAGCTAGCATTAGCATAATTGATGCTACATGGAAAGTGACCACAGTAYCGCAGACAGTTACATCTCTGAACGTCTGAGGTGGAGGATTTTCACCCCACACCAGCACCGGACAGAGGAGGAGCAGCGCTCCGACAGCCTGACAGAAAAAAAGAAAAGCACACAGCCTCTCACGATCGCTAGTTTAAATCAGGAATAAAAGTAGTTTACTTGTATAAAGAGCCCTAAAAATCCATAAATTTTGCAGAAAATCCTTACAACTTGCACCCGGGGGGGGGGCAGCTGCGGACATGAAAGCGCTCGCTGCGAAGCAGGAGGAAAGGAGAGAGGAAAAGCTAACTTATTTCTAGCGGCAGAACAGGTTGGAAGATGGCTGTTTGATGTTTATTGTTTTTTAAATCATCCTATAGGCTCTGACATGTTAGATAAATTTGAAAATGAGGTTTTTAAAATATCCGTAAGACTTGAAAAAATCCGTGAGATTGCTCTATACGTCCGTATACCTGCAAAATGATGTAAAATCCTTATAACTTACAGACAATCTGTATAAGTTGCTGCCTTTCTTCCCCCCCCCTCCCCTCCCGCTGTGCAGGAGGGCTGGTCTCTTTCTCTCTCTCTCTCTGTGTGTGTGTGTGTGTGTGTGTGTGTGTGTGTGTGTGTGTGTGTGTGGAGAGACAGAGTCAGAGGGGGAGAGAGAGAGCAGCCAGCTCCTCTCTCCACCCGAGGCTGAAGGTCAACAGATGATCATGCTAAGCTTGCTAACTGTTCCACCCTCTGACTGCTGCAGGGGCGTGTCTTAGAGAGAGGCTTTTATACCAGAACCAGCCGCTGTGACGAAACTGTGCAGAACCACGTCACAGCGGAGAGCCGTCAACCAATATGCAAATTAGCCTGCAGAACCACTGCTCTACCCATATGCGCAGCAAAAACACGTTTTTAGACCAAATATTACAGATTTGAACAAATACATAGAAAAACATCAAAATTAGCACAGAAACAGTACTATATAACATTTTAGACACATTCTAGACAGTTTATCAGCTAAAAAAAAGTTAATTTTGGGGTAAGTTACTCTTTAATATAGGAGAAAATTAATTCAAAACTGCTATGACATTTTTCTGCTTTGCTTGTTTGAACATTTTTACTTACTGAATTATTTCAAATTTTTGGTTTCTCAGTTTGGAAAACTTCAAGATTTTTCTTCAATGTAAAAAAAAGCCAAAATAAAGGAAAAAAAATATGCATGTGGTGTGGTTTTTCACAGCTTTATCTAATATTGTACAGCAAAATACAAATTATTTAGAATAAGCTATTTATGTGTTGTTAAAATAAACGACTTCATCGAGCTTTCTGTCTGAAAAAGTGTTCTTAGTAAGACCAAAGATGTTAACCTGGTCTTATGGCAGCCAAAACAGCACGGGAGGATTTCAGAACTGCCTCATAGATCGCCCTCTGGTCTGCAGTGAACTTGCCGTTGGCTGGAAAGGAGCAGGTTATGTCTGAAGAGTAGCAGTAGTACTCTCCACCCATGTCAAACAGACTGCAGGAGAGAACAGATCAGACCTGCTTAATACATTTCTGAAGTATTTTTATATTTCAAGTGCTTTATAAAAACTACTTCAGCAAACACAGAAGGTTTAAGATAATAATAATAACAAACAATTTWATAAAAAAAGACAATCAAACTTGAATATATTTTCTTGTAATTACATCTGAAACAAATCCAGAACCAGTCTAGGCTACTCACCACATGTCCCCATCTTGAATTGTTTTGTCATTTGGAGCCCCAGCATGACCGTAATGCAGCACTGAAGAGTTGTTGCCTCTGGGAAGAAAAAAGAGTTTGTAAATTAAAAACAAAACCAAAGATGCATTATATTGTATAAAAACTGCAGTCAGCTTTCTAAATTAGCTGTAGTTTCATCTGTTAGCTTGTTAGCAACCTGAAACTTTACTGAATACAAAAACAACTCTAATCTCAAGTTTTAACATGGTGAAAAAACTTGAGTGTGTTTTTGTACTGAGACACAATGATGTTGCTAGTCTTACTTAAAAAGTGTTCATGTACCTTTTTATTGTGACAAAATCAAATACTAAAACAATTAATAATTATTAATCAATTCTTACGATCCACAGATACAGGTGTATGAAGTGTGGCGCATCCCTCCTTTACTGTAGCAGTAATGTTGGAACAAACTGGGGGAAAAAAAAAACAAAAACTAGTCAGATGGAAACGATTATGAAATAAGCTTCACAGAGAGCACATTTTAGGTTAAAATATTTTGCCTGCTTTATAAAAAATCATTATATGATAAGTGCTCAAACTAAGCGTATTCATCTCAGCTCTGTATAGTTAAGTAGTGTAATTGCCCAACATTTTGTTGTAGTTTTCAAACAGTAACAGCAGATGAAAAGTTAGAAATTTAATTAAAATCAATATATTAAATAAAAAAATAGAWAATATGACTACAAGACATTGTGTTTGCATGTCCCATCAGATCCACTGAATGAAAAAACTTACCTCTCCATTTCATATTCTTGTTGTCCAGGTTTCACATGTTTCATGATCTATAAAGAAAAGGTCTATTTTACTAGCAAATTGAGCACATTTTAAGGTAAATGTGTCAACCAGTCAAATTGTAGTGGTGAATTTGGTTCAGATGACAAAGCGTCCAGTGGTTGAACAGCATATAAAGGAAATGTTCCTCAACCTTGAAAGAGTTTTCATACTGACACAATTAAATCTTGAGCTAATGTTAAATATTGTTTTAATATTCCAGATTATCAGTGACATGTTATTGGAATTAACCTCTGGGCTCTGAAATGGTTGAGAAAGATTAAATAAATACCATTTGAATAATTTAACCTTAGAGAATCCTGAAACCCTAAATCTGTAAGGTAAGTCCTAAACTCCAAACAGCTGTTTGGTACTCTGGGTGTTGAATGCTCTGGACTTCTTTAGTGACCTTACATAGATCTGATCTTTTTAAGGACGCTTTTACCAGTTTATGGGCATCACTGGAAATCCTGTTGGTGTAGCGCAGGACCTCCAGTTCCATATCAGTCTTAACAACACGACTGCAAACATAGACAAAACAAAGAGTAACCAACTCTTTAAAATACAGTAAAATAGTTTTGTAAAATAAAACACCAAGCAAAGTAAATTTTACATTTCTGTTGCTACAAGACCTCATGTAAATCAGCTGTAGGGGTCACCTCGAGTGAAGAAACAAGATTTACTGCCTCGAAGCAGGCCTCGGACAGGCCTGACGAGAGGACAGGAACTCTGTCACAAACTGAACTCTATTTAGGCCATGACAGGTCATTCTAACCGTGGAAGAGAACCCCTCAGTTCTCAGATAATGGACAGAACAATCTCTTCTGTTTGTGATTCATTTGTTGCTTAACTAAGAATGTTTATGCATTTGTTAAATCATGATAATGACTGTCACAGGAAAAGTGGAACCACTTCTATTCTTTTATAGTGCCTTAAAGATTAATAATGGTATAAAAAAATCACAGAGAATCTGATTACAATGTTTTCTTTGTGTTTTTATGTAAATCACTGATTTTATTTTACTGTGAACACAGTAAAATAATTGTGGATTTTTCCTGAGAAAATCTTTCATTTATCTGGACTAACAGAAGGTTCAGAACTGATTATAAAACAGAAATGTTAAGTAATCATCATAAATGTTTTGCAGTGATTTCTCTTAGTCTATCAAAAGAAAGCTGAAAAGAGGTTATCATATCATGTTGTTGTACAACCACAGAATTTTAACCTTGGGCTGGCGCCGGCTGGCAAATCTTTATCTTTCTTTCTCTGACTCATCTCTAAGCCTGAGGGCGGAACCAAAGTTCGTCCGTTTCTTTTACTAACCCGGACGGCTTTGAGCGACACACTCTTCTTCCTGATTCCAACCTAGGAAGACAGCTGGGAKTCTCTCCRGAGAAACCTCAGTTTGGCTTTAAGTCTGATCCCATGAGCTAACTAGGGAGGACTTCACAGCCAGGGACCTGACACGCCTGCCGGTGGTCTCAACCCGAGGCCAAGCCTCTAAGTGTGTTTTTAACTCCCAAGGGGAGATTTTATTTTGGAAGGAGGAACCGGATACGGCTTGAATTTTTCTGGCTTGGACTGAAACAGAYGAAAGTTACCTGGAAAAACACCTGTTCGCCAATGACCGGTAAGTGAGCCGACATCAGTTCCCTGACTGATCGGAGGCAAGCCAGCTCCTACCCCGAGGGTGCCTTAAGTAGCCATCATTAGGTAAAAGCTGATGTGTTCGGAGTGACGTGTCATGTGGAACCTGAGCTTAGAAAAGACGTGCAGTTCCGGTTGACCCACACTTTGATAAAAGTAAAAGTCGTAGTAACATACTAATCTTACTTTCCTCCTTTCCTTGTTCTTAATTTGCCAAAACCTACGCTAAAARTGCCAGTAAAATTGTTTGGTTGTTAACATCAGAACTGACGTTTTACTGTTCTATATAAGTAATCTGAGTTGATGTGAATTGAAATTTGGACGCGGGTTTTATCGCATTTAACTCTGACGCTTGTTATAGGAATAACCACAATCAAGTGTAACTTATGATTTGTTCAATTTGTATAAATAAATGATTGCATAGTCTTTTATGAATCAACTTGAACTCATCTGAACGTTCACTTATTGTGTCACTTTTCACTTCGCACAGTCAAGATATTAACAAGTAACGAGAAATACTTTGGTAAAAGTTTCCCCATAACCTTGTGTATGAGAGATGTGGGAAAAGCTTAATTCACCTTAAGCTCACTCTTACACAGCTGTTGACAATAATTATTAAGAAGAAATCATTATTAAACAAGCAAGAACATCCACATTCTGCAGTTGTAAATTAGAAAAAAAAAAACATTATTTTTCATTTCAAGAAATGTTTTATTATCTAAAGGCTTTCAACTTTTATACCAGAGACAAGCATGCAAGCACAGAGCTCATTATGAAAAGTAATGTCTGACAAAAGAAGGGAAAAAAATAAAGAAGTATTCTACTCACCAATCCACAATGACTGGGTGTAAAATGGTGTTGTTCACTTGAAAGCTGATAAAAAGAAAAAAAGCTGCAACATTACCCAAGTGCTACTAATAGTTTACATAAATTATATGAGTGCGAGTGATAAAAATGTGCAGTTATGAAAGGAAGAAGCCAGCTAACAAAACAAGGAGAGATAAAATCATTTATTTAGATTATAAATAATTTCGGTCCCAATACTGAACTTTGTGGAACACAACAGGTTATTCCCATTTACTGTGATTCTGTAGAACTGATGTTACATTAAAAACCTACTGTCCAAATAACTTTTTAACCAATAACTACCAACATCTACGGTGTTATTTCATATTGTTCATATATATGTAGGAGCAGCTAATGAACAAATGAATCTACAGCTTTACATAAATCAACAAACACCTCTACATACTTTCAGCATACATTACTAATCTGTTGTATATATCTTACAAAGAACTTTCATTAGCAAATCATTTTACGTTATTACAAAGTGATGTTAAATAACACACCGACTGATTCCTTCAAAAGAGGCTTCACGGGTGGTGCTCCCACTATCAGTGTTCTGCCCACGCTGCAGAAAAAATGTCAGGTGAATCATTTGAATAAAATAATAGGCAGTCAAATCTGAGCTAAACTGTACTGTATATAATCAATCAATAAAAATAAACATTGTGAACTGTGATCATGTGGTTACCAATGTGAGGAGAACTGCAGGATTCAGGTTGGACAGGACATCAGCAATCTGCAGGAATGCAGGCAGGAGATGATTAGCAGAGGATGATCTGCTGCAGAACTTCAGCAATGGCAGGAATCAGTTTTCTGCTCATTTTAGTTTTCATAATAAAGGTCACTCTGGCTTTGTGGCCTCTCCAGTAACAAGCAACACAACGAAAGAGCACACTCAAGAATGTTTCTAACCTTTGCTACAACCTTTATGTTCCACAACAAACTGACTCCTTACTAACAATGTAGTGTGACTTTAGCATTGTCAGTTTTAGCTTAAACAAATAACAGCTTTTTTAGTAAAAAAGAAAAAGTCTATTTTCTAAAATATTGTCAAAAATATGAAAAAATTTGACTTAATATAAAAATGTATTCAGAGATGGTTAGTTTTTTTCTTTTCTGTAAACTGGACAGGTTTGATTCTGGGATCTGACCTTCAGTGGTGTGCAAGTGTCACTTTTAGTCAATGCATTATCTTTACAATGGTGTTATTCCTAAAATACTCATTTAACTTGATTGGGGGGGGGGGCAGCTTCTCTATAAACTGGTTACAGTACAAGTTTTAAGTCTTGCCATTGTCATTTGCAAAATAATAATAAATGTTCAAACATTATTTTTTGTATATATTTATCAGTAATTGGTTATTTTATGCTTAAAATAAAGGCTATGTTACATCATGATTGTGTGCAGAAGAGTATGAATGCACCACATCCCGAGTGCACAGACTCTGGTTCCAAATATACAACACGGCAACTCCCACTAAATGAATGCTGCTGGCCTCAATTCCCAACAAATGGGTAAAATGTGGACACTTGGTCTATAATTATAAACAGTGGAAGTCATAAACTGTATTATGTGAGTGAAGCTGTAAAGATTTTTTAAGCAGGAGTACCAGACTTTTCTAATTTAATCCTACAGTGTTAAGATGCTGTTGCTTGATAAAAGTAAAACGTGACTAATTAAGAAATCTAACACCTCATGCATGCACTGAGATGTATAAATACTGAGTGTCAGAAGGATGAGTCATAAGAATAAAGTGTAAATACAAAAACAAGTGTAGAATTACTGGACTACTTTAATGTATTAACATGCATTTCATGAATCTCCAAAATGAGCTCCAGAGCTGTTAATCCAACATTATTGTTCTCCTGGGAATCTGCTGACAACACTGATAAACATTTACCCAAACTCCCAGAACAGACAGTTAGGAACAGCTTACAGATGAGTGGTCTGTTCAAAACCGGTGTGAAAATTAAGCTGTGAAACAAAACTAAAATATGAAAGTCAGCCAAGAATTTTTTTAGCATATCTGTATCCTATTAGACTAGTCATTGTGATGGGAAACAGCTGTTAGGTAAGGTCAAATACTTTTTACAATTTCTCATGCAACAAAAAAAAATAATAAAATGATCTCACAAGTTTATTTCTTTCATACTGTATGCAAACAAAACACTCAAAAGAAAAAAAAGATTCTGCTGTATCAGCTGTAAAGAAAAACATTAAAATACTTACATCACAGGTGTAGTGCATCTCATCAACAGCATATTTTGTTTTGAAGTGGTCTTTAGAGAAGATCCTGCCAACAGAGATTAATAAATTACTAGTCAATCTAAGTCCAACTAACTCCTGAAATATTTGATTTCCTCCTAAAATAACTGTTGCATAATAAATTGTCCTTTATAATGCAACAGAATTTTTTTTCCAAGAGAAATGAAATTGTCCAGCAGGAAAAAGTCTGGATTGACACATGAATGGAGGACACAGCAGCTAGGATGAAACACTAAGATCCCAGTGTGGAAATATGCATTTTGTTTAGACCACATACAGCTGGTCTGAAGAAACTTCAGGGTAATGATTTAGGCAAATAATAGTCAAGGATTATTATGACAGGCTCAGTAATTCCAAACAATATCACCAAAAAACAAAACAAAACAAAACAAAATAAATAAACTATATCCTGATGCATCTCAGTAATCCAGGTAGAAAAATAAATAAATAAAAATTAAGTAGGTCCTCTGGATAGGTTCTTCTTTAATGAAAAGTTTTCTCTCTCCTCCAAGAGAATTCTTCAGTCTGAGGAGTTTCAGGTGAACTCAGTCCTATGAGCACTGCCTCCTCATGGTGGACAAGCAGGTTTAACGAACACAAATGCTGTCTGTTCACATGCAAAGGAGGACCATCAGCCTAACAATAGATCATTAGTGCCCTGATCCCTTCAGTCAACCACCAGGTGAAAATAAAGACCCCAAACCCAGACCTAAGCCAGCGGTCATTCCGTATGTGGTGGGACTTTCAAAAACTGAGACGTTCATTCTCTAAACATGACATTCCATTGGCTTTCAAACCTCAAAACACGTTACAGCAAAGACTGTAAATTTAAATAAATCAGAAATCCGCCTCCGCTAATCAACAGAAATCCATCCATCCATCCATCCATCCATTTTCTGTACACGCTTCTTCCTTTTCAGGGTCGCGTGGGTCACTGGTGCCCATATCCAGCAGTCACAGTGCGAGGGGCGGGGTACACCCTGGACAGGTCGCAAGTCCATCACAGGCCAACATCTGACCATCACACACAATCAGGCACATTCACATATACACACACATACATGCATACGTACATACCTACATACCCACACACAAACATACACCCACCCACCCACACACACACACACACACACACACACACACA